TTTTTTGCAGAACCGGGGATTGAACTCAGGCCCTTGCGCTTGCCAGGGAAGCACTTACTCCACTGAGCCATCTCCCCGGCCCAATAGGAATTATTTTGAGGACAGAATAGCAGTAGTTTTCTAAAGCAGTGAGTACCAATGATATACTAATTGGATGATTCATAAAGAAAAAACAGGCTACATACTAATGAAAGTATGAACTATTCTAAACAAATATTCCCTGCCATATAAAATAATAATTCTGTCACCTTCTACTATCATTTCAAATAAGTGTGTATAATAACATAAATCATGGCAAAAAGAATTTGCGGCTTACAAAGAGCCAAGCTAGACAGGCCTAAAGGATAGGAAAAGTTCTCCTTGGCCCGCTAGTGCTCAAACCTGTTAAGCTGTTCTTGGAGCAAATCCAGTCTTTGCTCCACCTCCCCGTAAGTGAAGTCGCTCTCGGTTTCTGAAGTCCCCCAGGCAGGTCGCTGAAGCGCGGGTGGACTGCATTCTTCAGGCTGGGCTCTGGCGTGCTCTTCCCAACTCTGCATATCAGTGATATCTGTGTAAAAAACAAGAGGAGGTCAGCCTTCCTCGGGTGCTCAAGCTGGAAAGGGGCTCAGGGCGTAATGTGAGAGACAGCGCAGGATGGCCTAGAGACAGGATGAGGGCCGTGACCCTCTGTGGCAGAGCCCCTGCATACTGCAGGCAGGCCTTACTCTGCACGACCTTCCTAGCATTCATGACTCCAGCAGACGGAGAGGCTTGTCATCTTGCCATCTTTCTGCTTCCTGCTATGAGAAGATATGGAAGGCTGAACCCAAATGGATTAGAAAGTAATGCTTTTGAGATTCTAAATTTGGGAAGAAATACATTTTATTCGCAGTGCTTTATCCAGGATATAGAATGTTGGGAGCTCCTTCTCATGGGGGCTGTTTTTTTTTTTTTTTTTTTTTTTTTTTTTTTGTGACTCAGAGTGGGCCCGATGATAAAGTTTTGAAGGACATGCTGAAATTTAAAGTGTTTTATAATGACGTTACTCTCTACTGTTAGTTCCTTGAGGATCTTTAAATTTGTTTTAAAATAAGTTACTTTTCTGTTCAAGCCTACTTGTGCAATATTCTGGAGTGTTTATTATGTGCCACAAACTCTACTAAGTGTGGAGGAATTAAAGACAAATTAGACAAAGCCATGGGCTTGTAGGATTCAGTCTAACAAAGTGGTGATCATTTTTTTAAACGAAGAGATTCATTTTCCAAACCTCTTTTATTGTTTCTCTTAGAATCTATATTTCCAAGATGTCATTACTTGTGGATAAATATACCCTATTTTCTCCCTCATTTTTGTCATATACTTTTGGTGCTATTGCTATCCGTTCATAGTATAGCACAAAATAATTAAAGTTTTGAAAAATAAAACCTATGAAAATGTGCTACTGGAGCAGAAATGTAAAAGATGAGACTTTTTTTCCTCACAAGAGAGCTAACAAGACAAAAAGACCACTTCAAAGGGTATTTAGCTTTGATGTGGAAATAAATTTGAATTACAGAAAGTGATTTCAATATAAAGACTTAAAAATCTTAGGTAGCTGTGATTGAACACTGGGAAAAGTTATTATATGAAGTTATGGAACTTATATTCTCAGCTATTTATTTTGTATTTTAGGGAAGGGTCTACAGGGTGTTCAGGGTCTCATTACTAGATCAGACTCGTAGACATCTGCCTGTTTACAGCCTCCCAAGTGCTGGGATTACAGGCGCATGCCACCACGCCCAGTCTCAGTCACCAGCTCAGCACGCCCTGGGACTAGGGCTGGCATGGCAGGCTTCGGGATCGAAACCCCGGCCCCTGCACTTGCTTGCAGGCCATCCTCAGCTATTTAAAAAATGAATAATAAGTACCTAACTTGGACAGAATTAACTGAATCTAGAAGCAGAGAACAGAATTGTACAAGTTCCTTTCTATAGTTTCTCAAAAAGTATATTTAGGGAGATGAAATGCATATTTTTCTCTAAGTAGAACATTTCTTTATTTTATTGTTTTTCTTACAGTCTTTAGTCACTGAGTATACAGAAATTTCTATTATGAAGTACCTAAAATTTCTGCTTCAGTAGAGAAAGCTAATATAGCAAAGGAAGAGGGATATTGAAAGATAGCAAGAGAAGAACAAGGGGACCCCTTGTTCTTTGGAGTTGGTTTACAGACCTTGGAGCTTTCCTGTGAAATCCAGAAAGGCTTCTGATTGACTTCTTTACCTTACTGGATCTCAACGGTTAGAATGCCTTTTAAGTGACAGTTTACAATATAATTTGATATTTTACCAAAAATGAAAAAGTGTAAATGGACATGGGAAAATGGTAGTTTTAAGTAATTTATCAGAGACTTTCACTGAGAAGTATGATTTATCATTCACAGATATTTGAACACATTTGAAATGCAAAACAATCATATAATACGCTAGTACACTAGGTTTTTAACTTCGGGTTAGTGATGCCAAATAAGCATTCAGAACACATAAATGGTTTTGTCTAATCATTTAACAGCATGTTCACTTACGGACGTTTCTTTAGAGAAGCTAGGAAGTGATGGGATTGAAGTTATATATTGTGCTCATAAATAAGTTTTGTATCAAGAAAGTTTAGAGAAAGCTGCCTCTGCTCAACAGCTCTCTCATTTTTAAATCACATATTATAAATTGAATTTTAAATGACAACAGTGAATCATATGCAATAAATTATGGAGAATACTACTTCTTCCTTTGTGCTCAAGTAAAAATCATTATTTTAGTAAAAATGAATAAAATGTTCTGTGAGAAGATGCTTCCTATATTATAATTTATGTATATTAAAAGTAGAGATACACGATTAGCTTCTTTTAACAGCAAAGTAAAAAATGAGGAGTCAGAGGGGCAAATCTTGGTTAGTGATCTTAATCAAATGAACATCCTTGTAGGCGCTTTCTAAGTATAGTTCAGACAGAATCAGTGCCTGGTTGCCTTGGAAAATGTTGCTATAGTTGCAAGGCTATAGTTGTAAGTGGATGAACAGAAAGTAAACTTTTGCTCTGGGTACACAGTTTTCCTGAAGCCAACCCTTGACTCCCACATAAATAGGATAAGAGTCCATTTGTTTTACTTTGGATATACAATTTTCCTATAGTCAACTTTTGACCTTCACATCGTAGAATGAAGTTTAAAGAGTTTTGCCTAAATGTGTTCTTCTATCGGATTCAGAATGACAGATACGAAGAAAATGAAGGGGGAATAAAATTTCACATTGATGGGGAAACTAAAATTTGTGAGGACTTAGAAATTCACGCTGTAGTAGTTACTGCCACACCTTACATATTACTAAAGTTTGTGACCATTACATAGTCTTTCACCTTAAAAATCATTCAGGAATAAAATTTTCAGTAAATCAAAATTTAAAATACTGTATTAGTTTATAATATTAACTAATCATGCTATCCACCACTCTGGACTATACAGTACCAATTATGTTTCTTTCAATTACATGCAAGTTTAGCTATGCATTTGCAAAATATTTCTTACTTGAATATGAATTAATATATACATTTTTGAAAGAAAAAATAGAGATATAAATTTTTTTGTGAAGATGCTATTTTTATTGGCATCTGAGATAGCTAATTAAAAATCGGAAGAGATAGCAAATAAAAATATAAGATGAAGGACACTAGAATTTGCTGCCAAGGAGAATCATTATAAAGTCAAATAAAATCCTAAAAATATATCTTTAATAACTTGTCACTTGGCAGTCTAAAATTCCTCACAAAAACAAAAAAAAAAGTACTTTTTTTTTTTTTTTAAGAAAAAGGGAAGCCCAGCCCATGCTCCTTTTGGGTACAGCAGACGTGGTTCAGCAAGCTCATCAGAACCTCTGACTTCCACAATACAGCCGGCTTCTATTTTTAGAACTTCTCAGAATCCATTTTCATAAATAACTAAAATGGGACATTTGGTAATCACATCTAATATTCCATTCTTCCGCTGTGATAAATGAAGTACTATTTTCATTCACTTCATCAAGATTTTAAGATTGTCCAGAGGACATTAGCATATATTCTTAGCTTACTTCTATGTGTAGCTCTGGCAAAACTTGATAACATAATAGGAAAGAACTCAGGAAAAATATAAAGTCCAAACATTCTAGATTTCATTAAACCTTTGTGTTCAGATATGATCTATTGAAATACATTGTGCGATAATTTTTCTTTCTGTTAGACAAAAACATTATATTTTTCCTTCATTTTTATTATTTTTTGGATGGTTTGCTCTGCCTTTTAAATCTTTAGACTTTTCGTTACCATCTAGGGACACATTAAATGATAAAAGTGTTTGAAAATAAAAATCTGTGAGAAAATACTACAGCTGGAGATTTTATTTCAAAGAAAGTAACATGATTTACTTAATAATCATAACCAAGTAGTCCTTTAGGTAAGGTTACTGTCATTTTTAAAATGTGCAAAATCTTAGTAGGATGTGTCAAATCACTTATCCAAAGTTATATGAGGAGCAGAGGTCAGGGCATATCTCTTACGGGTACCATTTAATGACTAAATCAAGCTCTTGTTATGCTAAGTTAATATTTTCTATGTAACAGTTTTTAAAGTTGTCTTGAGTTTTCCATCCCTTAGCATGAAAGCTAGACATATTAGTTAGGCATTATTACTCTTTACTTGTACAACAAAACCTATAATTTTGTGTTCTTTTAGTAAGAATGTTAAAAATTTTATCGCGAATATACTTCATGTTCCGGTATTTCTCTTCTCTTTTTAAAAACTTACATCAAAATGAAATTCTTCTTGGTGTGCATTATAGTGTTAGAGCACTGACCTTCCATACTATAAAACTACAAGGTTGGGGTAAGAAGTGTGTACAGAAAGCACATAGAAGGAGAAGAACCAACTGGTAAGCTCTCTTAAAATACTCATTGATCTTCTCTTAATTGGAATCATTTGCTTCAATTGGTTTGCCACAATTTGATATTAAATCTGGTTGGCCACAAATACTTCTTATGCTAATATTAGTTGGAATTAATTGCTACTTAATTCCAGAATTATGAAAACATGCTGTATAAGATTTAAATTTTGAATGGTTATGCAAACATTTCATGAATTTGAAAAGATTAAATTGATGTGTCAGTGCGATTCTTACCTTGTAAAACTTCACCACTTTAGGTTTAACATTAACCACTGATACCTGAGTCCCCATTACCTCTGCAAGAGTGACTCCTTTTATCCGTGCGCATTCTTCCCGGGGCAGGCATTGTTTCTTCAAAATGAAGCCCAGTTGCTTTCCCTAATCTTGGAGTAGAATCTATTGTTCCTGAGAAGAGCGGCTTTTGCTCATCATCAATGGAGGAGATGAAAGAGGACGATCTACTCTTTTTCTCTTCAAAGTGTTTCTTGGAACTCTGATAATGTCTTATGGTGTCTGCAGAATCTTCAGGATCATTTGTACTGTTTTCTTTGCCAAAATCTGTAACAGGAAGGTTATTTGACAGCAGATAATCAAATGTGAGACTATGAATGTTGTAGAAAACCTTTTCTTGTGGTAATTAAAAGATTTACTTTTTAAATTAAGTTATATTTTCATGAAATGAGTTATTAATCTAAAACAGAATTTGCATGCTAAAGGTTAGATTTCAGAGAAAACTATAGGATAACTTACAAATTTATTTATACACGCTCAACTGTCACTTGAATTCTGAAAATCTGGTGCACTTTTTCTTTAGGGTGGTAAAAGAAGGAAAGCAAAAATAATGTACCAGTTCGAAAATATCACCACTGTGAAGCCTGTTTTTTGTTTTTAACCTTCACACCCCTATTTGTGGAAGTCATTCACACATTGCAAAGGTCAAAATTGGAAGTCTCCTTGTGGTACAGACTGCACGACTGAGTTTTAACCTTAGTTCAATGCATATAATGGCCTTGACATTCCAGGAAATTTGGTTTAGTAGCATATTGCAAAGAATATAAAGCTTAAATACAGTAATTGAGGTAAGTTTTACCTAATTACATTAAAGTCACTAGTGCATACTGGATGTTTTATATTGAAATGTCAGGATAATTTCAGCCCTGAAGGTTGTGTTAGAATATATTTTAGCAGGAAAAGCTCAGAGACAAATCTCAGAACTTGTTTCTATTAGTGTCCCGGGGAGACAGTATAATTCTCCATATGGTTCCTGCTAATAACTAACAACAAAGCACTGAAGAGTATATCATTTTCTAGAGAAATGGTGAAGACAGTGTCCCCATCTACTCTAAGCCTGGGTGTCCTTACTTTGTTATTTATAGAAGGCCAAATGCACTGATTTAAGTCTGCTCTGGAAAGCTGTTTCCTAAAATTCCCATATGGCATAGAAATTTAAACAAAGCCTTTTTCCTTTATTGTTTAAATCATAAATTAAAATTTTCTTGAGAAGCCTGAGGTAAAAATGTGCAGAGTTTAAAAATGAGCTTTATCTGAAATTATTATTAAGGAATTTAGATTCTGTCAATTAAAGTGAAATTTAGTAAGTGAAAATTGTTTAACTTATTTTCTTTTAAGATTTCCTACTTGGCCAGTGATTTCATCACTATCAAGAAAATCATAGACCTTTTCATTTTCAAGTATTAGTGTCATCCTTGATTACTTACTGTTGTGACATCTTCCCATCAACCACTAAGCTTATCAGCGGTAAGCATTCAGATCAGTTCTCCTTGAAAGAGTCATGGTTTCCAGTGGCACTGTACTAAAGCCCCCCTAAAGCTAGTACACTTCCTTCTCGTTATCTAACTTCATATTTTCTTTGTCTTTAACTTCTGTCCTCCTCCAAAGCCCTCAGAAATTTTGCTTAACATTCTCCACTTTTAAACATAGCATTTTATTCCTCAAAAAGCAATATGTACTGGTTTTACGCCTGTAAATGTGAAAAAATGAAGAGCTTACTATTCCAAATTATCTTCATATCTGCTAGTGAGTTGCATTTTTTTTTTTTTTTTGCAGCTGTTGAGTAAAGCTTTTTGAAGTCTATGGCTTGAACATAGACTTTGAGTGGGATTAGAGTCAGCTCAGAGTTTTCATCATTCTTAATGCTTTATTTTGAACTTTTTTTTTTTTTGCATTTTTCTCAGCAGAATTAAATATAAACTGAATAAACCATGAATTCATATGACTCTAATCTAGGTAGCTATGAGTAATAGCAACATCAATATTTGTACTGACTCCATACAAAAATTAATATTCTATTTCTAGTTCTCCTGAGAGAACATTCCTGGGAGTTCTCTGTAAATTTTGAAATCTTTAAATATGGCAGAATGTTCTGTCTCATTTACTACCTTGGCTTCAGTATGAGTTAACAAAATGATGACTGGATTTGGGGTATTTAGGAACAAAATTCATCAGTTAGCACACATTGCTAGGTTGAATTATATCTTGCTTGCTTTAAATCAGGGCAAATACTCAAAAAATTTATTGACTGAGGACTTACTAATACTTCATCATACAGTAAAATAAATCCAGTCACTGCATATGTATGGGACCTAACTACTTTAGGAAAAACTCACACTAAAAGTACAATCATAAAATAACAAGAAGTTTGAATTTCTTGAATATTTCGAATTTGTTCTGAGAAAAACCCACATTTGTTTCTGTGCTCCACTAGATGAGGTCATTAGTTATATGAACAATTGCTCTGGTGTAACCTTTGTGAGACAATGTTTTTTTTAAATTACATACTAAATAAATTAAAGTTTCACTTTCTGTCATATAAAATGAAGGCTGAAATGACAATCTATTTATGCATTAAAAATGAAAATTGCTCAGGCTTCGTGTGGATGTTGGCAGATGTAGTACCTGAAATCGGGCAGCTGAAATACATTATAATTAGCCTCCAGCTACTTCTGGAGTTTGATGGAATGTTTCATTTCTACCACTTTCTAGTTAAACTGAACTATTTCATAGACATGAAATAGCATTAGGCACTGCTTTTTTCCTTCATGTCCTTCATTCTCTGTGTAGAAAGAGAAGTATTCTGAGAACATAAACCTGAGGGACTTTTAAAATTCCTCCTTTTTCCAGTAATAAGGTTGTGTAATCATTTCTGTTGTCATTATTTTACAAAGAATGATTTCCACCTGTTTAGTTAAGCCCTGAATTTACTGATTCAAATGACAGAAAACCTTGTTTTTTTTTTCCCCTTGTTTCTGTAGGCTGACAATTTATTTCCTCCAGTTTTCGCAGAGGACATTATGCTAAAGAATTTATGGTTGTTTTTCTAGGTTCAGAGTGAATTCAGATCATAGAATAAAAGTGTCCCAATGGGGTGGTTGACCCATATATTTTAGAAATGATAATACAAAATATTTACATTAAAAAAACCCCTGATAACTAACAGTGGTACTCTCTCCATTGTTTATGCAGTTTCCCTCTCAAACTAATTGTGATTTTTATTTTTCAGGCCCAACAGGGAGACATAACTTTTGGTCAGAGAAAAGCATTTAGTGTGATTTCTTGGCATTTGAGTTTTATATTTCCCACTGGTGGGACTTTTGAGATAAGATGCTCGGTTCCAGTCTACTACCTTACAAAAATATTTCACTGGAAGCTCGGAGGCTGAAATAAATGTTTTCATTTGGGATGAAGTACAGTAAGCTGTCTGTAACTTCAGGTGATGTTGAAAGAAGACTAAACAGTCATTTTATGTATAAATATATGATTAAATTTATCTTTAAAAATGAAAGAACTGATACATTTGGGGAGATGTTGATCAAAGCACTATTGGTACAAGTTTCAGTTCTGATGAATGAGTTCTAGGGATTGTTGGATAGTAGGTAGGTTATGGTTAACATACGGCATTGTTGAAAATTGCTAGACATGATATTCATTATTTTCTTCACACAAACAGAAAAGATAACTATGGGGTGGTGGGTATGTCAATTAGCTTGATTGTGTCATTATTTCAAAAAATATACATGTATATCAAAAAGTCACATTAGACGCCGTACAAACATATAGCTTTTATCAACAAAACCATCATAAAGCTAGAAAAAGATGAGCTTACACACCACTGAGGTAAGTAATTAGCTGCTCATTCGTATAGGTGACGATAACCCAAAGAAACACCAAAGTATTTATATTTAAAGAATTAACTCAATAAAATTAGAACTCTTACTTTTATAAATAAATTTGTCAGTGTATATATTTGCCCCTTAAATCACTTTCACAAAATTATTTTAGATTGGAGAAACAGCTTAAAAACTTGCTTTGGATGTCAACGTGACACCATCAGACACACACGATTTCTGTCCTTTGAGAGGAAATACGGAATAAGATCAAGACACTGTAGGCTGATTTCTGCAACATTGGTCTTCTAATGAAAACATGTCAGTCTCTCCTACTCTTAGAATACAAATATTTCTTTGTGTGGACCCATCTAAGCCCAGTGGGTAGAGCAGGCTGAGTATACTTCCCTTTTGGTTCCCTCTCATTTTGTTGGCACAAGCACCTCTTCCACACCCTTTTAATTTTTCTTGTGTTTACTCAATAAGTTTATTCTTTTTTAATTGTTTGCAGTTTCTTCATTTTTTTTACAATGACATTTCCTGTGGTAACTTATTAGCAGGAATGATAAGACTCTTACGAGCTCTAAGACCTGTTTTCTAGGGTCTTAAAAATTGAAAGTGTAAAAAATGTCTTGATTAGTAAAGACAAGCTTAGCATTCTTTAACTCTGTAGGCCAACGTCTATACATTTTGCTAGGACATGTGTTTTCTTTTTGATCTTATACATTTTACAAGTGAGACTAATTGAGGCTAATTATCTGCCTTAGTCTTCAATATTATGTTTTTAAGAAAGAAAGTGGGAAAGATGTTTGGAAGAGGGGTTAGATAATTACAAAGATCTGATGGGGAATCTGAGGCAAAGATATGAACCAGGTGACTCAGCCAATTAAAGTGCCTGCTTAGGCAGACACAGGGACTGGAGTTTGATCCAGCCTGGCCCCTGGGGCGATTAAGACTGGGTATGGTGGTGCACACATGTAATCCCACCGTTTGGGAGGCTGAAAAACACGAGGATCACTACAAGTCCAGTCTATGCAATGAGACTCTGTAGACCCTGTACTAAAAACAATAAAAAACATTTGTTTGGGAAATACTGTACTCCCTTTCCCATGAGTTCCCTATGATAAGAACTGAAAGTCACTTGCACGCTTCAGTTTAAACAACTTTAGCAGTGGGATTTCTCTTAAAATTTAAAATAGCAGCAGGAATTGCATATCATGAGTTTAAAATAATGTTAGTGGAATTTCCAAGCACTAAAACCAGTTAAAAAGTTAATTCTTCGAAATTCACTTCTTTTCAATACAATATTTGACATAAAAAGTAAAGATAAATCCTTCAAAAGTCTGTGTACATCTTTTTTTCCTTCTAAGTTATCTAGAAGACTTAATAAAAAGTTTAAAAAGCAAGCATATAAACAATATAGTTTCGAATGAGAAATCTGTGAGATGTAGAGACAATTTTTTAAAATGGGAAAAATAGAAACAAGTGAAACAGAAAGAGAAAAAAGATGCACATATATAAGAACACTCGGAGTGCAATCAATGCTTACTTGCCAAACAAATGGGCCTGTTACATTGCTGCCATCATTAGATTATTCTTTGCCATACAGCCACTGGTATCCTAATCAGGCATTAGTAATACTTTAATACCGTATTTTGTATCTGTAGACAGAGTTGGGCCTAATACTTCAAATATTTGGTTGCATGAATCCTACCATTAAAATAAGTGTATATACATCAGTACATCATGGCATATTTTACATATACATATACATATGCACAGACACACATTTATATATTTTATAGATAGACATGGATATAGATATAATACATTCTATTGTAGTAGTTGTATTGCATATTATGCAGTAAACCAATATATAATTTGAAAATAAAAAATCTTCCCATGATATAATGAATCATTTTAATGACTCAGAACTCTGAAGGCTATTAAAATAGGCAACTTTTGAGTTTTTTCGTCTTTCTTTTCTGTCCAAACATTTAAAAAATTTTCTTGACCACTGATTATGTCACTAAAACATCATGTTTGTTCTTTACTTCCTGTAACAATAACATTTTACTTCCTTCCTAGACACTGTAGTAACTGTTCCTACAATGCCCCTAGTCATAGAGGGGAAATCCTGGGTGCTTTCATGTCAGAATGTTAAAAAGGACAGAAAACCACTTGAGGATATTGAGTTCTCATCTTTGTACTTGCACTGACAACTTTCTTTTTTTAGCAAAGTGAGCTTCTTTCCTTAGAAGAAGTAAAGACAATTTCTTAAGGACAAACCACCTTGATCAACAAATTCATTATGCCAGAAGTTCTACACACTTCTCCTTTTAATATTCACCTTTTTTAGCATGAGCTCCTTAGCACATGTGCTAGCCAAAACTGGAGGTGTGTGTGGGTGAAGCTACAAGAGTTACAGTCCCCTGCAGAGAAGGTTGCGAGGGACAATGCACAGCTCAACCTCTGTCTGCCACATGCTCTGTGATCTCCACGGTCTTCTCTCAGGTTCCTGACACCTCTACTAATTGATTTCACAGTCTTCATCACTCTTTGGATTCTGCCTTGGAGGTTGTGTTTCATGTGGATAGCAAAATAACACTAAACTAACTAATCAGGGTATTTGATAGGATACTTTTGGTTTAAGAAACTACATTCTAATCAGCGTTAGTAAATCCTCTGAAAGTTCTCTGCTCTGTATGCTTGTATGAATGGGTGACCTTCCATAGAGTCTTATGTTGAGAGGATAGGGAATATATATATATATATATATATGGTACAAAGTCTTGCTATGCAGCTCAGACTGGTAGCGATCTTCCTGTCTCAGTCTCCCCTGCACTAGGGTTACAGGTGTGTACCACCATGCCTGGTTTCAGTCTCCAGCAAGGAGCACCCAGAGTTCTGGGGCCAGTGTAGCATGCGGTACCAGGGATTGAACCCAAGTCCTTGTGTTTTCTAGGCAGGCACTTAGACGGCACTTAGACTACAGAACCGCCTCCCTGCCTGGGGACTAAGTTTCTTTTCAAAATTTCATGCTTGCCTATAACACCCTGGAACCTTAAGTAACTTGCAGCAGTTTCTTAAACTCTGGACGACTGGAGTTAATTGTGTCTTTACATTGCCCAACTCATAGTAACTCACTGACACAGCAGGAGACTTCGAAGAACTATAGATAGTCAAATGTTTGCTACTTACACTGTATGTACAAAATGGGCTTCAGAGACAAGGTGGTGTGAGTAAAGAGAATGTTTTCGAAGTCAAAAGAAACGTCCGACTGTGTAAATACAGTTATCAGTTGTGACCTGGTTTCAGTGCCTTATTAGGAAATGAAAACAGTACACTAATTACTTAGAATGACAATACTGAACAAGATTGAGAGAAGATTTAATAAATCTTCAAAAGCATAGGTAACTTTATTATATATGCAGTTTTGCCAGTTTGGTCTTCCTTTCCAGTGAGATACAATAAGAGATTAAATTTGTGATAAGGGACTTAGCTTAATTTTATGGAAAAACAGCTTGACAGTGATGGTTCTGATTTTAGAATAAGTCAGTGGGAGATAAAAAGTCATTGTAGAAAAAAAAATCACCTATAAGTGGTTTATTGCTTTGCAATTGGCCAAAGAATTGTACTGTTATTTCTACTGAACAAATATTTTTCAAAATTCTTAGAGCAATTGTGACACTGTACAGGGCAGTCTTGGACAAAGTCATAGTAGGAAAGTACCTTTAAAATTTTTAAAACTTCTGAAAAATTCAAGAAAATCAAGAAACAGGTGATCCTTGGGGATCAACTTTGATTAAAAAAAATTTAGTGTGTGACACAGCTTGTGTGTTTGAGAACAGAGGCTAAATCCAATCAAAGGAATGATATAGTGAAAATATAGAAGCAATGCACATGGACAAGAGGGCACTTTAGTTCCCTTGATATGTGGTGTAAGCGATGGCCGGTATATGATTTCTCCTAGGGAAATGATTCCCGAAGAAAGAAGAGAAGCAAGAAAAGCACTGAAATTAAGAAGGCCGAAAGAGGAAAACAGTCAAAAGAAAGTTTCTCAGATCTATTTCATTTGCTTTTTCAACAGATGTTTGTGGAGTACCTGCTGTGCAGCAAGAACTGGAGCTTGGAAAGGATAAGGAAAGCAGGACTGGGTGGTGCAGATGCCAGGAAAAGAATATTCAAGAAAAAAGATGGGAACTGATTCATAGCATCGGCTATTGCTTTAAGGCCAAGTACAGAGTGTAACAAGAGTGTGAGATCAGTCTGAGGCAAGGATGGAGGTCTAATGATGAAAGCCTTCTCTTATCTGGCCAGACACACGTAAGCATATTCCCATCCAGGTACCACTGATGTGTACTTGTCCCTGTCAGAGAAACCACAACTGAAGGGCTGCACTGCCTTTTCATGCAGGTCTTATGTGCAAGTGGGGCTTGTGTACATGCTTGTGTTCCTGGCGCAGGACAGAGGGAGGTCCTCTTTCCGTAACATTCTGCTTAGAACTTTACACAGTTATGCAGCTATTCTTAAATGCCCTGCATTTTTTAACCAGATTACTTTATTTCTATACCTGAGAAGTCTTTGTAAATATCATACAATTTTGTTGAAGGATATTGTTGACTACTATCAATCAAATACCAGAAAATGATTAGTTCTTTTACAAAACAAAGAATTTACTTTCTTAAGCCTAAATGAAATGTATTCTTTTTTTTTTTTTTTTTTTTGTGGTACCGGGGATTGAACCCAGCACCCTGCACTTGCCAGGCAAGTGCTTATTTTACTGAGCTATCTCCCTGGCCCCTAAAATGTACTCTTGAAATAAGAACTATAATGAGAATTTTAGTAAGAATGTCTGAAAACCACATGCACTGTACTTAAAGCATAGACACAGGATAGATTACCTTTGTCTCCTTCACTTTCAAAGGACAGTCTTCGCCTCCGGAGCTTACAGTTTTCTCCTTCAGAATCATTCATGGACTGTGATTATAGGAAGAGATCAGCCTTTGTTAATGGATCATGAAGATAAAATGGAAGATTACCCAACTAAGCTGTAATGAATTATTAGCAATCTTTACTATTTTATATCACCTCAATCACTGAATGTTAATTAAAAGATCACACACAAATAGCTGCAATATTTGCCTAATGTTTGCTTTGAAATTATAGCGTGGACTGATGAAATAATTCTAGTAGCTTAAGCCAACTGATGGGGAAGTCTTAGTTGAAGAAGTCATTTATTTGAAAATTTATAGAGAATGTCATGATTTAGAAACAAAATATACCTTTTGGCAATTGTGTTTTATGTCAATTGGTAAAGCTAGAAAAAAATAATAACAGTTTTTAAAACATTACAGAATCTATCTCAGCACAGAAAAATGTATAAGCTGATTATAATTAACTATGATGTCTAAATTACATGGTAATGATTGCATGGCTAAATCCCATAGCACTAAGTATAAAGTTGTTGACTTCAATGAACATTATGTTCAGAGCCCTCTATTATATTTGTTGTCACCTTCTTCTCCCCCTCTGGCTCGCTCTGAACAACATTCATCTTTTAAATTAGAATGGAAACTCCTATTGTATTCTTGTGCTGCCTGAATTGTTAAATAAAGGACCTGAGATAGATACTTTTCAGTTTTCAAGTTAAAAATTAGAATGAAGTTGATGACATTTGATTAGGATTTTGAGAAAGTACTGAATTAAAACAACTTTGAAAATATATGCTCTTAATAAGCTTTTATCATCTAAATAATTTTTAGCTTTTCAATATTTGGAAATAGGTACTTATCTGAGCTGGTACATCTGGATATTGAATGGTACCTTGAAAGTTGCTTTTTCTCTTTAAGTTGCTCAGAATGACTGAGAATAACTAGCTCTAAGAGGAATTAAAGCTACATTTTACCTGGATGTGGACTTAAAGATCCTTTTCCGGATAATGCATTAGCTAGTCTGTGATTACCCTGGGAAGTATCAAGTGCCTAGTACTTGATTTATTATTTTTTATGGTACTAGGGGTAGAAATTGGCACTCTGTGCTTGCCCAGCAGATGCTTATGCTGCTGATCTATCTCCTGGGCCCCTTGATTTATTATTAAAAAAGAATTTAAGACTGGAGAGGGGCCTAGAAGCTCTAGGGAGAAAGGAACACAGGAGGAATAACGTATTAATTGTGGATATATGTAATTCCTATGTCCATAGTATAGTAATGGTTCACAAAGACACATTATCACAGTGCAGGTGTTAGGGACATGAGAACTACACTCTCAAATTCATTCTAAGTTAAGTAATGTGTAGAGTTATTTAAAAATACTATTGCTATTAGGCCATGTGCTATTCATTCTACAATATTAATTTTGAGATTATTTTTTTCACTATTATTTAAAAGTCATTGGTAACACATGTGATATAAATATATAAAGCTGAGATGATATTTTATCTTTTGTGTAAGACAAACTTCATTAAGATTAACTTTTAATAGTCTAAAATTCTCTATTACTTACAAATAATTGACACAATCAAAACCAAAGTATTTTAACCTATATATTTCACCTAATGGTTCCTAAGGCTAAACTTAATCAACATGCTTAAAAGTATTCAACATATTTAAAGGTAAGTAGTTTGAATTTCTTCTCCATAGTTTAAATTTCAGTATCCTGCAGACCTTTCCTCCTCTGTATTTGGAATTTATTAAATTTTGTTCAAATATTTTGTTTAATTTTTCAGAAATATTTGCGCAATTCAAGAACAAAATAAAAATAGCAGGAATGGAAAAAAAAGCAAGCATATACCTTTGCACTCTCATGCCTTAGGTTGAAAGTCAACTCGAGATTTGTTAGAAAGTGATCTGAAAACTCTGGATACATATCCAACACCTCTAGCAAGTCTTCTCGCTGAATCTTATGCAAGTCACAGTAGGTGAGTGCTCTTACGTCTGCATTAGACTTGCCAGGTTTGGCATAGAGGTGAACCATTTCTCCAAATATGTCATTTTTTCCTAAAGAAAAGAAAATCGAAAGAAACAGAATCAAAATATTTTTCTAAAAGCAGGAAGAAGCCACTGGCCAACTGGCAAGTCCCTGAACTAAAGATTTCAAATATAAGGCATTATGGTTAATAGGCATTTGGGCAGCAAAGTTGTAGGGTCTGGGCCAACGGCCCCAGTGTGTATTTGCTGAATGGAATGTTGACTCTGGCTTTCCGTGTTGGCTGTGAGTCAATCGCTGAGTATCTAGAACGCAACAAGTAAGTTTTCATTCTAGCACACCCCCCACTGCTAGCAAAATCCCTTGTCATAAAATATTTTAAAGATACTTACAGATAGATATGCTCTGATTTTGTTAATCCAGTAATATGAGAAAGACCACACTGTGTCAGATTTAAGTTCGCTTTCAGGATAATCTCCAGAAGTAGTACCAAGAAAGGGCTCTCGCGAGCTCTTTTAAAATTTAGAAGACTGGAGCAAAAATTTGAACACACCTTGTTTCTCTTAACCATGTTTATATTTGCCTTTAATAAAATTGCACAATTGTTTAAAATATCTAATTATATTGCTCCAACAGATGTAGACAAGTCTTTTGTCAAGTGGCCTTTGCTTTGAAACTTTGACCTCCTTGGTTTCTGTAAAACCCATAGTTATTTCAGCATCTGGCTTCTGCTCAGCAACTGTCTCCCCTCTCTCCTCTGCCAAAGCATGCCACCTGACTTTCATGCTGGCTGATTAATAAGGGTAAGAATGACATCTATGATAATAATTTTTTTTGAAGACTAAGTAGGTGACAGGCATTGTGTCAAATACTTAGGTGCATTGTTTCATATAATTTCATTTTTATCCTCCAAATGACTTCATGAAGAAATTACTAATTATTATCCAAATATTATAAATACTGAAAGAGGATTAAAGAGGTAAACTGATTAGCCCAAGGTCACCTTCTTAGTTGGGTGAAGTGGAGGGGGGGAGAGTGTAGCCAGCACTAAACCTCATGCACTGCGATTCTATAGTCAGTGTTCTCGTATATGCAATCTGTTCAACCTTGTTTTGATATTTTCCCTTAAAATCTGGGCCCCCTTTCTATTGATGAATATCAAGAAACTTATGTGACATATGGACTTAATTAATTCTGATAGGTTAGTTGATAATATTATTTATAAAGATCATCAATGACTGTAAACTGGTATTTTCTTATACCTATTATGAAGCTTCTTTTGAGATTTAGGAAAACATTTCCTTGTTTATGCTACTTTAGATTTTGTGAGACCATCTCATACATCTGTGAGAACTACCCACTGTGAGAACTATTAAAGTCTTTTAAACAATGGGATCCTAATAAGTAAAACTTGCCATAACATTCTTATTTAAATAGAATTAATAGGAAGGAAGTAAAATATCATACACTTAACTACATAGAAAAACAGGCACTGAAGATCAGAAATGCAGGGGAGCATGCTTCTCCTGGATCCATCCCAGGATAAGCTGTCAAAGCCAAATCTTGTGGAAACTACTTTATTGTGTAGCCTCGGAATAACTTTGCTCTCTTATTAGATCGAGAACCAAATTGCCTATCTTACCAATTTTATGAAAGATTTAAAAACTGTAATCATAATAAAATTGTCAGACTGTATAGCGAACTCCTCCACTACCTTCATCTGTGTCTAAGGGCCTCTGCTATGCCATACTCTGGTTGTGTCCAACAGCGCAGGAAACGGACACCATCCCTGGAAGTCCTGAGCAAACTGTCATGCATGAACATGAAGAGTGAGGAGAGAGGAAATTGCTGTATTCCATGCTCATTATTTAAATGGAGCTGGAGAAGACTGGGAAGTTTCGTGGAGACTGGCAGTAGGTGTCAATAGGGAACAGTGGGTCTCAAGCCTCCTTGATAGGTGACAGGAGAGGAAACAAACCTGGCTTGCTTTGGTCCTCTGTTGTGTCCCTCTGTCCTACTAGTCTCAGGAAACTCCATAAATTCATGGAGTATATGTTTATTTTAAAAGAGATAAAACAGATTAAATATAGATTTTCTTTTACACTCTCACAAGTTTATGACTAATTTTAATTTTGCCACCTTTATGCTTGGTGTTACGTTCATAGCTTCATATTACTTAGATATAAACTCATAATTCCATTTGTATGGTATAAAGTGAACACATGAAATCCACAGAACATAAACGCAGATCATAATGGCCAATGGGACATGCTGTCCTATGTATCTACAAAATTTATATTTTATTTTAAGATGTTAATGGATAAAGCATGAAGCCCAGATTGTCTAAAATGAGACAAAAACACTGACTACTTCCATCTATTTGGCCTCAAATGTCTATACAGCTGCCAAGAACTGAAGAGAATCACAGAAGCATTTATACACTGGAGAAAAACTGAGATGGTCAATAAAACATATTTCCATCAAGGTTAATTTGTTTTGAATTGAATTTTAAATGCAGGTTTTGAATTACAGATTGATATTAAAGTTGACCTTTTGCCTATCATTTTATATTATGTGCTGCTATATGTACTAATAGCTATAGCTAATGACTGAATCTGTCACCAGCCAGTTTTAAAACACTCACCCAGAATAGCTACCACAATATCATCTTTGAGGATTTCGATGGAGCCTCGGGATAAGAAGTAGAGTGCTGTCAGGACATCACCACAGTGAACGAGGGTGTCTCCTGGAGGTGCATGAGTGGTCTTGAACTTCATTGCCAGAGCTCGAAGGCAGCCTTTACTTGCACCACGAAAAGCTTTGCAGTTTTGCAGCAGGGTTTGGTTGAGATGTAGACAAATGTCAGCTTGTAAGCATTCTGGAAAACCCTTTAGTACCTGAAGGAGAAAGAGAAAGAGTTTCATACTACCAGAGCACTGTGTACTTCAACCTGATATAAAGTCTACTTCTTGCTCAAGGACCTGCAGGTGTAGCAGTTGTCACCAGGAGTTCTTCCAGTGTTTCTACCTTGCCTACTTTAATGAATACTTGGTTTTCTAAACATGTCAAAAATTTTAACTCAAATACTTGTTCTCTGAATTAACTGCAGGTAGTCAGACTCAGCATGAGTGCTGTTGCATTAAAATGCTATGCCTGCAACTTTTCACAATGCTTCTGTTTTCCCTGCATCATGTTATGTAAAATCATACTGTGCACAGATATAATGAAATGTGACAATTAATATGACATAATTAATCAAAGGCAGTACAACTAGAAAGATAACCTTGTGATAGAATTTCAAGTCAATTTAGATTGTCATCTCTAGTATATATCTTAGTTATAATTAGTAAAAGTGTTGATCTTGAAGTACTCATGGAATTTGTAAATGTCACATATCAGGGACTGCTCTTAGCAAACAATACTTGAACTATTTATGTTTCTCTATATGAATTATGAAAGCTAAATATTTTGATAAGCCTGAAAACAGAGAAAGGAAAGGAGAACAGTAAACATACTTTAAAAGTACACTTCAATTTTCAAAAATAGAAATTGGGCCAGAACTTACAGTGCATACACAAGCATCTAAAGTGCTACTGTTTTGACAACCTATTCAGAGGTTACTTTAAAAGTAGTGAAATAGATTAAACAATAGTCTATGACATGTGCTATTCAATGTGAGCTAAATATATTTCATGCATTTATAAATTCCCGGGCTACAATGGATCAAATACAAGTCATGGGTCTCTGTATCTTGCTACTTCCTGTGTCACAGGTAGGTTTTACTTTGACCTCTGACTTTTACTGACTGTATAAATAATATGCTTTCAGATGGGCCATCATGCAGTGTAACTTATAGCGCAATAATTCAGTTTTGAAGTTCTCTTTTTTCAACTCAACCTTGGTGAACCATTCAATATAACTAAAATAATTATGAATTGTTTGGAAGGCAATTCAGATATACTTAGCACAGAGAGGATCTTCACATTCAATCCTATTTTCGTGTACTTACAATTACTAGTACTTTAATATTAAAACATCTATAATGATACTTCTTTAACTGGACCACCATGAGATGGAAGTGGTCAGGCTGTGATATGTTATGAAAGGATCAATATGAGATACCAATCTCAGCAGCCATGATTCTGTGCTCTTATCTTCCTCATTGTATAGAAATGGGTTGAGGGTACATTAGGAGAAAATCCATAGAACTGAATTCTGGTCATGAGTTTGCCACAGGTGACACTTGTGCAAGTCACTTTATTCCTCTGTGTTTCTCTATTGCAAAGTAAAAGCCTTCACAATAGTGGAGTCAACCATGAATTACAATACACACGGTGCCCTCTGTCAGACATTGTTCACCCCACTCTATGCTGCTCACAGATTTAGCCTGTAGAGGCCCCTATCCAAAAGGAAGCTTTCTCCAGTAAGAGTCCCTGAGCACTTGTCAGCAAAGTCTACCCTTACCTGTGGCTTTCAGGTGTGGCTTACATGACCACACTCCTGCCCAATTTGCTGTATTAATGAAAAAGCTCTCTAACACAATTTATCTCATCTCTAGTTTTATTGTTGAAGTGGGGATTTTCTCCCCCATCTTAATAGTCTCCTATATCAACTCAACTTCACTCTAAGAACCAATTCTCTGGGCCACTGATCCCTTCTACTATCTAAACAATCACTGTAGATTCCTTGCCAAGTGATGCCAGACTGAAGTCTGAGTACAGGTCCTGTTTTCTGAAATGGTAAGCACTTTATGTAAGATTTATATAGGATAAAATTAATATAGGACAAAATTATCTCACCCTTTTTCTCTTTTCATGACTTACTTCTCTCTGGAGCAAGCTCTTATAGTCTCAGCATAACTCATAAATGATCCCATATAGGTAAAGATAAGTAGAACATCACAACATAACAAATTAGGCACGTGCATCTTTCTGTTAAGATGCAGGTTACCAGGCATAGTGAGGCATACCTGTAATCCCAACACTCAAGAGGCTGAGGCTTCAGAACCACTATGGTTTGAGGCCAACCTGGGCTACCTCGTAAGTTCAAGGACAGCCTGAACTACACACCAAGACCTTGTCTAAAACAAAATTGGTGAATGGTATAAGATATGAGAAAGCATCTTATATTTCACGTAAGTGAGTGCTATACTTGTGACTATAAAAGTGGAATGAGAATGCTGAACTTGTAACTTTAATTTCAGCATTATCTCTGAAGTCTCTCTCTGACTGTAGTCTGTTAACAGAACCGAAAAAAGTGTGTGTGTGTGTGTGTGTGTGTGTGTGTGTGTGTGTGTATTCTTTGAATTGGAAGGCAGAGATGAGACAGAAATATGGGTTCCCATGGCTTTGAATGTGTCCCATGAACTATGAATTTAGACAGCTATAAGTTAAAGTTCTACTGAAGGAACTTCCTAAGTGTGACTTTGTTCAAATTGTTTAAGATTCAATTTTATCTTTTTAAAATTAAATTAATAATATCAACTTCACAGAGTTGTAACTTTGATTATATATGAATGTATATAAACCATCTCATGCATAGTAGAAAATTTAATAAGCAATTTATCTCTGGCTTCCTATTTGTGTCACACATAAAGGTTATTTCTGCAGAAATGGTATTCTTCCTTTGCTGGAAATTCATAGACATCCAAGTTACTATGGTTTTCCTTGGGGTGCCTTATAGGAAAATTTCCATCTGTTTTTTGTGTTTATTATTTCACCAAAGTCTAAAATGTTTTATGTTTCATGTATCATAAGTTTATGAACTCTTTTTCTTAAATATCTCAGTATTCTTTTTTCCTATTTCTGGCTTCTTAAGTGTTCTGATTTCCTTGAGTTGAGCATTTCATTGTTATGGGCTTCAATCCATTTCGAAGGTAGGCAGTTACTAAAATAAATATATAAGTGTGTTTTTAGAATTCCCATAATCTTGGAATCACTCACAAAACTTTAAGGGCACTTGCAAAGTTTTCTCCTTGTTAAATTTCCCTTGTCTGTAACGTTCATTCTATTAGAAGTAACATCTGTTGAGAAAGATGGAAGTTGAGACGCCATACAGCTTTTGTTTACAGAGGAGAAGGTTTCAGAGAGCTTAGCATAAACTTGCCTAGACTACGGAATTCCTGTGTGGTGTTAGCTCTTCTCTTTAGTTACATCAGTTACTCAAATAAAACTCAATGAGATTTGAAACTCAGTTGTTAAATCTTATACTTCTCCAATGTTTTTGAAATCTCAAATAAATTGTCAGCATTATATTCTAAATTATTGGTCAGTAAAGGTACTATGGATGGTTAAAAGAGAGATGCAATGGAATAGATATAGAAGTACTTTGTACAAAATGGGAAGAGATAGTTTTAAATAGATATATATCCAGGAGAAAAATTGATACTCTTCTTTGCTTTGCAATTATGCATTTGTTTTGTTCATTTTGGTCTTCTGCTAAACTCCATGATTTAAAAATTTTCATTTACAGTCAACTATTTATGTTGTATCAGGCTTAGCAGATCTGGCTAAGGAATGCTGCTATGCTAAATACGTGCATACAGATCAGGACGCAAGCTGGATGGTGATTGTTACATTTGCTTTAAGTACACTCTGCAAAGTCTTTTTATAGCTAAAACCTAAAGTGGCAAAGGTACGTGCAACCTTCCTCACTATGCATATGTGGCTGCATTATTGAGAGAATCTAAAGACCAAGAAAAACCAAGAAATTTCCAGCAAAGACCAATTAAAGACCAAAATGCAACACCTAGAATCAGTCATATAGTTTATAGTTTGGAAAGCAAGTTCTGATTCATTTGACAAATATAATATTTGTGAAATTTTTACTGTATGTCTAATACTAGGCTATAGGCTATCACTATGAATAAAATGTGTTCTGAACATACACGTGGGCCTCAAAACTTTCTTAAAAATGCCAGGCTGACACAGTCTTTTACAAAGTTAACAGAATTTGTCACACTTCCTCATGTCAAACTTGGATATTTATAATACTAATGGCTGGTCAAATGAACTTTCAAGAAATAGTTAATTAAAAATGAAGCTCTGATTTTATTTTTCTAAACCTGGGTGGCATTGGGCAGATTAAAAAAAGAAGCTTTATCAAGTTCCAGGAAACTTTTTTCAAGGTTTATAGAAATCCCATATTTCTATTTTGATAAATGGTCACCAGAAGAATTTGTAAATAGAAGATTAATTTCCATTTACTTGAATTTATGTGAATAAGGAGCTTTAGAGTGTTTACAGTCAAATTATGACTTGCACATTGAAAGTTTTTCATTTAAGTTGTATGAAATGTTATCTCTGATTGTTAGAAGAAATAAATTTCAAAGTTTAGTATTGGAAGATTCAAAATTCAGGCATTTGGACACAAACAACACAAGATAACATTATAAACCAAGTGAAACTAATTCAAGAAATCACAGAAGATGATGAAAGAAAAAATGGTTACATAATAAACATATGCCAAATACAATCAATTATTAATTGAGAAGCATATATTAAATTTTATTTCAAACTTTCCTAAGAGATATGCAATATGAGATAAGAAGTAGTGAATGTTAATTTTTTAAAAATGTTACTAAACTAAAGGAGACATTGCCATTAATCCCTTCAAAATAGGTCATTCTTCTTCCTTTGAACACACTGATTTATCCGATCTGTCTTTTCACTTTCTGAGGCAGTTCCTGAGGTCTTCTTTTTTGTTGTGGTTGTGCTGTAGTGACTGCCTGAACTGATGTGAGATGTGGACTCTCTACAGAGACTGACTTTGCAGAAGACCCAGAAGCTGCAGAGACAGACCAGGTGAATAAAGCAGACGCACAAGAGCCATCTTGTTATGCCTTTTGGTTTAGTGACTGTCAGCAGCTCATTCACTATACTTTCGGTAAGACATTCAC